CACTGTGTTGGCTTCATTTTCCAGCAGCTTTAGTCATGTAGTGGCAACAGTGGCTTAGGGTCTAATAGTTTTTCAACCCAGAGTACGAAAAGTACTCTTTTCTCAGTGCTCCCAACAAAGATCCAGGGACTGACTCTCATTGGCCAGCTTGGATCATGTGTCCTTCCTGAAGACAACTCTGTCTCACCATTTGGCCAAGCTTGGGACATTTGCCTCATTCCTGCTACCATTCCCACCAAAAAAGAGCCACATAGACAGAGAAGGGAGGAGGAGTTACAAAAGGAAAAATAATTGCTTACTACCCAAAGAGGAATAATGAATGAAATGCAAGCAAAAACAAGAGCAATCTATTAAAATTTCCACTTACTTTTGCATAGTAGAGTAAACAAATCAACTAAGTACTAATTTTTTGCTTAGTGGTTGGGGGTTCATAATATTAACTAGAAAAAAATAGCAAACTACCAACACTAGGGAAGAGGATACTATAAAATCAGAAAATAATGACATGCACTGAAAAAATGGTTAACTTTGAAAAGAATGACATACTGTGTGTGTGTGTTTATATTGGTGGTCCATAGATGAACACAAAAGCAAATGAAAAATAAAACATTGGACATCTGCCAAATATTGCGTTAATCTAAATGTTTAATGAGTCCATCAATCCTGCACTGGGAAAAGCAATAATAATATTTTTACAGCGGCATTTGTGTATTTTGGTTTCCATGTTATCTCAGATGCTGATGAGCTTATGCTAACTCAAGAGTATTTTGTTGAAATCTATATAATTATTTAGCTCACAAGAGAAATGACCTCATACACATCCAATTCTTTATCATAACAAACCAACACTCTGCTCATTCATTTATCCATTTGTTCATTCATTTATTTTTGTTATGTGCCAGCTATGAATCAGGAAGGAAGGTAAACACTAAGATTAAATAGATGAGTAATTTTCGGTCCCACCCCTTGAAGGAGTCAAAGTGCAGTAAGGGAAACAGACAAGGAATACTAAAGTACACTATGAGAAGGGATTTATACAGGGCTCTAGAAGCAAGAGACAACTCACCTGAGAGATAAGGGGAAGACTTAGGAATGCTTTTCAGGGTAGAGAAGAAAGTCAAAGGCAATTCTAGAGTGAATGACAAGTGGATGACAGAAGCTTAAAAAAAACCTTGGTGTTAAAAAAAGTGAGTTCTGACTCTGCAGAGGAAGAGTTATATAAAAGGTTGAACTTCACACTGCAGCTCCAGAACCCTGACTCCCCAACTAGAATGAGGCTTCTAGGAAAGAGGCATGGGAAGAACTTACGAACTAAATAAAAAACAAAATGGATTGCTCATGCCTCATTTCTGGAAATTTTGGTATTTTGGTTCAGGAAGAAACTGTGCTTAAAGAGATTTCCCTATTGACTCTGGAGCACACCCAAGTTTGAGAAGTGCTGTAGGTAGGCAGGTAAGACTCATCATGGGGTACTGGGAAAGAGAATAGCATACGTTGGAAAGAAACTTCCTTTGCCCACTGGCAACCAGAGTTGTGGTAGAACAGATTAAAATGGGATGGAGAGACCTGATAGGAGAGTGTTGTGATAGGACACATCAGAAATAGTGCCTTCACTGTAGCTGAGGCAGAGGGAGTGAAAAGATCAGTTTTTTAGAGACTTTTCTGAGAAATGCAATGCACAGGACTAGATGGTCTCTTTGATGTGGGAAGTGAAGCAGAGTGGATTCTGTTTTGTAAAAGGTGCCCTTGAACTGGGAGTCAGCAGAAAGCAGGAGGTGTGGCTGTGTCTACAACAGTGAGTTGTTAGCTCAAGGTGGGAGTTCAGCTGGAGCTGGCCATGGGCCACAGGCCAAGGCTTGGGGCTGGGCTAGCTGAGATGTAGAGGCTCAGATCTAAGAACCCTGAGACTAAAAACTTGACCACCCCTCAACTGGCAACACCTCCTCTTTGTGCTACTTGTGGCTCCCAGCCAGTCACCTTTATAGCCTTTCAGTTAGATTTGCTCATTTATATAACTTCCTAAGGCCAAAAACTATGGTTTAGCTATATGTTTTCAAAGCCTAGCTTAGTGCCTATACATATTTGATGCGCACTAACAATTTCCAGGTGAATAATTTTTATTAATTACCTAGATAATTACAGTTACAGCAGCCTCATTATATCTGATTAGTCCTTTGGCCTCATTTTTTTATGACAATTACATAAATTTGTGTTTATGTAACTCTACATGTTTCCATTATTACTTTCCAAAACATGCAGTTTTGTGATGAAGAAAAGAGTAACTTAATGCATCCTTTCTTCAAAACATTAATTATTGGAAGATGCCTGTGTAATTAATAAAAAGGTATATTCTATACATTTTAATTTAGATTTCACCAAAAGCATTTGATTACTAGATTATTCTTAAAACTTTCAACTGAATTAAATAAAGACAAGGAATAACTTTCAATTTAGTTAATCAAATAAGCTTGGATGAATTGAGAAAGATTATTCTAAATACAGATTTATGATCACTTCTAAAGTATCTAGTTACCTTTCCTCACATGATGCTGAGGCAGGCTAGGTTAGGGATAGTCTGGAACTGTTCCCTCTCTTGGCTCAAGGGTTCCTCCCCCTAGGCCACAGGTGAGAGGAGCCAGGTGATGATGTATTGTCTCCCCATCTCCAAGTTCAAGGTCATATAAAAATGACCTACCAAGAGACCCGGGACCTTCTTCCTCTCCCCTTCCCTCACCTGGTAGACTGGGTGACTCCTCTTCCCTCAATAAAGCTGTTCTACCTCACCCCATCCACGTGTTCTGCTTGGATTCTTCCATACGGAGCACAAGGACCAAGATCTTCTGAAAACACCATTTGCCGATAACAATGCTATATGTGAGGAAATAAAAGAAGTTTTGCTGAAGCCTCAAAGTACTCACTACTGTGAATGATAAACAAACACTATAAGGAAGAAAATGGAAGGCAAATCTGTAAGTTAATCACTCTTTATGTCTATGCTTTTGTCTTGTTCATAGATGAGGTGATTGCTTCTTCATTTTTTTCTCCATTATCTTTGCCTTCCTTGTAGGTAAGTGCCCTCTGAGTACCAGACAGGGACATCCTATTTATAGAGATATCAAATCAACACAAAACTCAAAAAGCTACAACTTCATAATTTCCTCTCATAAGAAAGAGCAATGACAAATAAGTGAGCCAATATCAGCTATTTCAAAATGCAATTTACAAGCAATTGTGGGAATTAACTTTGGGTAGCCAAAAGTAAATAAATAAAATATCAAAGTTATTGGCAAATAACTAAGAAAAAATCGTGTTAAACTAGTTATTTGGAATGAATACCTACCCGTGGGATTATTGATGCTTTGTTACTTCCCTTTGTGTGTTGGTATTCTATACCTTGATATTGCCTAATTATCCTGAAAACGTGTAACTTCCTGTTTCCTCTGATCTTTAGGAGATTGTCTTATGCTTATCCACTTATAGTTGATTATGTGTATGTACTAGTCCCATATATTAACCCCACTGCTAATTATAACCCTCTATTCTATGTGCAGTATCTATCATATCTCATTGGCCTTACTCAACTCCTAGTTTTAGTCTGTCTGACCTGCTTTGACCATTTGGTATTTGTTAGCAAATACTATTATGCATCTGCCTTAATGGACTGCTTATTTGCCTGCTTGCTACCAGATTCGTTCATACTTTGCCCTTCTCATACTACATCTATATAGAGGTGGTTGATTCCTACTAACTCCATTTCTAGGGTCATTTGCACATGCTCCAAAGGGATTAGGAAAATAAAATATAAAACATTAAACTAGGAGCAGTGGTAGAGAGGAGAAACCAGTATATGCACCACCTCACTCTCCCTACCTTACCCCCACTACCACCCACCCCTACTTTGATCAGGCACCTCTCCACCGTGACTGATTTCCTCTGCAATTGCCATTCTTCTTCTAGACACAGGGAGTGTCTCCTAGGCACTTCTAATCCAGCTCCACTGTTGGTCTCTCCAACCCTAGAGATGAATGATAGAGGCTTCCTGCTGTTGCTACCACCTGGGGTCTCCTCCTTCATCTGTCTGGCTCTCCTGCCCTTCCAACACATTTGTAACTTGTTCCTGGTACAAATGCCTTCAACTGAACTACCTGATTTCTGATTTCTGATTTCTGCTCTGATTTCTTATAGGACCTCATCTCACACACTGAGGAGACAATACCTGGCAAGTTATTAGACAAGGCACAATAACTGACATAATCACAGAACTCATGTAGGTATTGCAAGGTTCATATCCTGAAATGATGAGCATGGTGGGCATGATGGCACACATCTGTAATCCTAGCTATGAAGGAGGCATACAAGCTGGGCATAAGGGTACACAGCTATAAGCCTAGCTATTACAGGGGGATTGCAGTCTGAAGCTGCCTCAGGGAAAAATGTGAGCTATTGATTGGCCTAGTGTGGCCGGGACGTGAGACCCACTTACACATGACAACTCAAACCCAGAGGCCCCTCACTTCTGTTACAGTGAACCCAGAGGCACAGATATGTCCCCTCCATTAGCAGCCAGTTGGGTTGGAAGTTCCATGTTGGGTTTACTTGAATTACTGGGAGACTCTGAATGCCTGGCTTCTGTTACACGGTACTGACAGGTGGCCATTGTTCTGACACAAAAGCAATATCTCTACATCTCAATGATGTGTGAGCCTTTTATGGAACTTTTTATTAAATCTTTGTGTATTTTGAATCGTTAATAAAGAAAGAGGGAAAAAAAGGAAAATTGTGAGCTACTGTCTGAAAAATAGCATGCAAAAAAGGGCTGGGGGCCTGACTCAAATGGTAGAGTGCCTGCCCAGCAAGAGCAAGCCCTGAGTTCAAACCCCAGTATTGCCAGAAAAATAAAAATAAAAAAGTGAACATGTTATTGAAAACAGCACAAAGGAGAGAGTCATTTTTTTAAGCCATTTAGTTCTTACCTTCATTCTTTAACAATCTATCAATAGGGGAACCATGGGAAGCAGAGCGAACAAAGAATGATGCCCACACTGAGCCCAAAATAGTTCCAAGTGGAATTGCCTGCACAAAGAAAAGAAAGATGTAAGTAACATCACCAGAGAATGTATCAAAATGCATTCATCACTGCAGGCCCTCTGTTGGTTCCTCTCCCACAAGAAATTCTCTCTTTTTCTCTCTTTCTCTCTACCTCCCTCCCTCTCTCTGCTATTCTCTCTCTCTCCCTCTCTCCTTCTCTCTCTCTCTCTCTCTCTCTCTCTCTCTCTCTCTCTCTCTCTGCCTTAATTAACTTGATCTTCCCATGACACAAAGATATGTAATAAGTCAAATAATATGTTAAACTTATTACTTGGAAGAGTCTGGTGCCTAAATTGACTAGGAGCAACCACTCTTTGAGACAGGCTTTGAAAAAATCAGACTTTAGGACTGTGTGAAAGGTTGAGGCTATGGTTTAAAAAACCATATGGAAAGAATTTGGTTCATCATGTCTAACTTCTTGGCAAACCGTTTTCTGGTTTTGTTGACATGGAGCAGAACTAAGAGCCACAAGGAAGGGTTAGCTTCATTCTTTAAACAAGTGATGGACCATGGTAGTTTGTTTGGGATGCCATGGCAAGCTACCACAAATTGGATGGCTTGAACACCAGAAATTTATTGTTTCACAGTTCAAGAGCCTGGAAGTACAAAATCAAAATTTAGGAAGGTTTTGCTCTTTCTGAAGTAAAGAAAATCTGGTCATGCTCTTCTCCCAGCTTCTGGTTTGCTGGTAACCTTTAATGTCCCTAGACTGCAGCTGGATCATCCCTACCTCTGCCTTCATACTCACCTGGCATTCTCCCTGTGTTGTAGCCATATCTGTATTCAAATTTCCCCTTTTGGGGCTGGTGGTATGGCTCAAGTGATAGAGCACCTACCTAGTAAACAGGAGCCCTGAGTTCAAACCACAGTACTGCCAAAAAAAGAGGTTCCCCTTTTTAAAGCCAGACATGATGGTGCATTACTATAGTCCCAGCTACATGGAAGGCTGAGGCAGTAGAACCTCTTAAGCCAAGGAGTTTGAGAGACTAGTCTGACAACATAATGAGAAACCCATTTTTTAAAAATCCCCTTTTTTGATAAAGATGACATTCATATGAGATTAGGGCCCAATTTCATGACCTCATTTTAATTGGTTGCCTCTGTAAATATCCTATCTCTAAATACTGAAATAGGATACTGGTGGAAGGTTAGAATTTGGGCCTATCTTTTTTTGTGGGGTGGAGGTACAATTTAATTCATAAGCAGCCATTTATACAAATAGCTCACCATCTGTTTCTGAACAATTCTCTCCATACTCTTCTATCCACTTCTCTCTGCTATTGTCCTTCGGTAGAATCTGTGGTTGGGAAATATTTGTTAACTCATTCATATTAAGGTATAAATGGCCAAAATTGTCTCGTATATTTGTAATGTACAATAGCCCAAAAGGATAAGATAAGTAATAGAGATAAATTTTAATATGTTGTCCCTCCTAAAAATACCTGTAATTTTACAAGCCATAAACAATTACATCCATTTCTTATGATAACGTAAATGGTGGCAAATTTTGCAGTGATGAGTAAAAATTCACTAAGTAATTCTTGATTTTCATTTTAACTAACATGAAAACTGCATTTCTTATTAGTGGAGTTCTGGGTTGATGATATGATATGCACTCATAATTCTCTTGTGCTGGGAACTGAACCAGGATTTAACACATGCTAAACACAGCTTTACCATTGAGCTACATCCCCAGTCCTCCCACCCCTTTTATTTGATGGAGACAGGTTCTCACTATGTTGCTCAGGCTGGCTTCAAAGCTCTGTGCTCAAGTGATGCCCCCTGCCTCGTACTCCCAAGTAGCTAGAACTACAGGTGCATGCAATAATGCCTGACACACTCATTTTTCTTGGCTACTCAACTCAAGAATGGCTTCCTTTTGTGTCCATCCCTAGAAGCCATTTTTTTGGCAGTACTGGGGTTTGAACTCAGGACCTTGTTCCTGCTAGGCAGACCCTCTACCACTTGAGCCACACCCCATGCCCTAGGAACATTTTTTGCACTCAATAAAATATTGAATTTTGGTCTCAAAAATGAGAGATATGATTAAAAAACTATCACGTTTAAGAAAAATTAAACCCAATAGATCTAAGAGCAAAAATGTGGAAAACATGGTACTCATGAAAGTATTTAAAAAGACACTTGTATACAGAATGAAAACTGAAACAAGGAGGCAGAGTGTGGCCTTGTTGGAACTCAACTGAGAATGTGTGTAATCAGCAATTCAAAATTTTTGCCACTGTGCACATGTTCACAAATGATCACAAAAGTGCTGTGGATATTGATTTTGGGGTTACAGATAAATTTTAATGAGTAGGAGCATTTACAAATATGGAACAATGAATATTGAGGATTCACTGTACCTCAATCTGATTCCATTGCCTGTAAGCCAAAAATCAAAGTGCATAGGGTTTATTTACCTGATAAAATAGGTTATTTACATTTAAGATTCATATCTGTAATGTGAGACCTGAAAGACTGCTAGAGAAGTATAATTAATGTACAAGCCCTGCTACTGATTGAGTGACCTTGAACAAGGGGACTGAATTTTTGTAGGTGTCAGCCTATTATTCATAAACTGATAGTCTTGGGCTACAGAACAACACTCACAGTTAAATGTTCAAATATCAGGGAAATATACAAGAAATGGTATTCTGGATAAATACAGGACAATATTATGATGAGAAACTATTTTACTGTGTTTCTTTTGGTTTTTGAAGGATGAGAATGTATTAACTATCTAAAAAAAATTAAATTTGAAAAAGTGAGAAGAGGAGGAGGAAGAAGGGAAGAGGGAAGATAAGGATGAAGAGGAGGGGGCAGAAGAAAGAATTCTTCTATATTGAATTGATTCTATGTTCTATATGATCAAAGGCAGATATTTTATTCATTTATTGGTGATACTGGGGTTTGAACTCAGGGCCTCACACTTGCCTGGCAGGTACTCTAGCACTTGAGTCACTCCACCATCCCTTTTTTGTGTTGGGTATTTTTTAGATAGGGTTCCACAAACTATTTGCCTGGGCTGACCTCAAACCAATATCCTCCTGATCTCTGCCTTCCGAGTAGCAGGAGTACAGGCATGAGCCATCAGTGCCCAACTTGAGGGCAGATATTTTAAATTCAGATTATACTATGACCATTAGATAGAAAGGGTTTACATATTTACATATCTTTTTATAAATCATGTACTTATTAAGCACTTAGTATCAAAAACAGTGGCTAGTATTTTTTCTTATTCCTTGTGAAATATTAGTGGAATCATATTAAACCACCAATATTCAACCATTTTTAACTACAAAAATATATCTATTTCTTATTGTCAATCTAATATTAACATCCCCATTTTAATGATGAGGAACACAAGGTTCACAAATTCTGAGGCTGCCCACTGACACACACAGTTGGGGAAAGAGACTGTAGACTATACCTGAATTCCTTATCTCTGGTTCTCCTAAGTAAAGAGTGTGGATTTCAAGCTGAAAAAGTGAATGCTTGACTTTCTTTTCCTACTGTGACCTAAATGCCTCCAGTTGGTAGAAACTGAGCATCAATCAAGTCAAGATTTTCTCCTCTCATACCTCTCACTCATTCCCGAGATCCGTGTCTGAAAGGTTCTTTCCTAAGCATTCCTTCTGCCTTTTGCTCCATTGGTAGGCGATAGGAATTCTGGTCTTGCTGCCATTGTTACATGTACCTGCTGCTCGCAGGTTAGTCTACCTTACAGACCATCTTCTCTGAAACTGGCAAGACTTTTCTGAATCTAAACCATTTTGGTGTCAACAAGTAGAATAGTCTGGTTCTCACATGCTGTTTACATTCCAAGCCTGGAGACCCTTCAAGGCATTGACTTTGAAATTGTAAAAGCATGTTAGCTTGTTAGCCAGGCATGGTGGCATACATTTATAATACCAGCACTCAAGAGGATGAGGCAGGAAGATTTTGAGTTCAAGATCAGCCTGGACTACCTCTGGAGACCCTGTGTTGAGGAGGGAAGGAAGGAGGGGAACAGAGAGAGAGAGAGAGAGAGAGAGAGAGAGAGAAGGAATCAACTCTGTGCTTTTCTTGAAGCAATGAAGACAAAATAACTAGCTGTCTGAATAGTGAGGGGAGGAATAACAGGAGAGAACAGATGGGAGGAGAGGAAAACAGCAGTAAATGTTCAAATACCATTCTGTTCTCACCACAGCTTCACACATAGTTCTCAAACCTGAGGGCACCTAAGAAATTATTACAGAGAGCTAGGCACTAATGGCTCATGCCTGCAATCCTAGCTACTCTGAAGGCAGAGATCAGGAGGTTCACGGTTGAAAGCTAGTCCTGGACAAATAGTTCATGAGATCCTATCTAAAAAAATCACAAAAAAGAACTGGTAGAGAGGCTCAAGTGATAAGAGTGCCTGCTTAGCAAGGGTGAGGCCCTGAGTTCAAACCTCAGTCCTGCAAAAAAAAAAAAAATGAAAGAGAGAAAGAATGAAAAGAAATTGTTCAGGAGAGCCCCTCAAATGCATAGACCTTGGTTTATTTGGAGAATTCTACTCCTGGCCAATGGAAACAGGCTAATCTGTTACATTATGTTAATGTCCATTTGTGACCATGTCTAAGTAGAAGCCTTACAAAATAGAAGGAAATATTTTTAGGTAGATGAAACTAAAATTTATTTTTCCATTAAGAATTGAATAGCAACCTGACACGGTTGGAATAACAAAGGCCATTGTGACTACAGCAATTCTTCTGCCTCAGCCTCCTGACTGCTAGGATTATAGGCATGTACCACTATGCCCACTTGAAGCAGTTCTATGAAACACAGATGCAGTACTGGGCCATGATTTAACCAAGATTCTTTAAAATCAGAACTCCATGAAAATGGTATGACACCTGGGTGCTGTGACATGCTTGTACTCCCAGTTACTTGGGAGCTGGGGCAGCCTAGCAACATAACCAGACTTGGTCTAAAGAGAGAAAAAATGTTTAAAAGTGGTATGGAAGATCAGCGGAGAGTCAAAC